GACATTTGCTGTAGTAGGATAAGATATCATGATGACAGTGGAAAAAAAAAATATTTGTCATTTTTTTTCAGTATAAGATTACATAATACAAAGCGCATTCAGTACTGGCAGGTCTTTCAGATTGAAAAAAAAAAATGATCATGTGTTATGATTTTCCCAGTGACCAAAGTATCAACGGGTTCAGTGCATCACTTTACCGAGCAGTTTCCCAGTTTACAAGATTCCGAACAAAAGGTGTGGATCAATATTGCCTCGTGTTCTTCATCGTGTTAGGAATTACTGCAAACCCACAATTTTCTCGTAGGGTCTGCTCACATGTGAACATTCAGTGGCCTTACTATAACACTTGTGGCACACACCTCTCCCCTTCTCCTCCTCTTCTGTCTCAGAAGTATATGGATAGATAAAAGAATAACAGCTTGGTGCGTTTCCTTTTCCTGTTTGTCTCTCTAGTTATTTCCCCCTCCCTCCCTTTCCATATTACTCTCTTCCCCTCCCTCCCATGCCCCCCACACCTCTCTCTCTCTCTCTCTCTCTCTCTCTCTCTCTCTCTCTCTCTCTCTCTCTCTCTCTCTCTCTCTCTCTCTCTCTCTCTCTCTCTCTCTCTCTCTCTCTCTCTCTCTCTCTCATAGCTTGAAGCTTTCAGAAATGAGGTTTTGGGCTTCAATCAAACAAATAGAATGCTCTTTTGTAGTACCTGCTGCCATTTGGCTTGAGTTACCAAGCATCATCTTCAAGAATATGTAAAACCAGTATCTTGCAAGGTTACGGACCATTATGTAAGGCTTGTTCCTGTTGCCAGTGACACCGTAATTGTTGGAACCCATATATACTCGGATAAACCCCGTATTCTGGGGCATCAGTCGTTTTCTCATCCCGTCGGGCAACCAGAAAGTGGGCAACCTGTTTTCTGGTAGTAATCATGTCATACAGTCTGGTTTAAAAGTATAACAGTAAATATGTATCAAATGCCGTCTCATCCAATTCTAAGTACTGTGTTTAGTGATACGTCATTCAGCATACTACTAGTTTGTATTCGAAACGATGACTACGTGTTACTGTAATATTAATGATTTGTATTCATTTAGAGTGAAGCAGTCTTGATCTGCGATTGGACAATAAAGTGGGTGTGTGGACCGTGGTACTACATTTCGAGGACGACCATTGGCTCATGAGAAGGACGTCACAACATGTTATTTTTCGTTCTAAACAAGTATTTTCCCAAATGAACATACTCGCACCACACAAAAACCGTAGCAAAATGAACACCTACACCCGATAGACGATATTCATATGCTTAAATAGGAGACATTAAAGTTCTATTAAGTATACATATGGATCTACGCTTCAGATATTAGTTCGCCTTATTCCCCATGGAATTCCCAAAGAGTTTCGCTCACTTGGCAAGTGTCCAGATCCAGAGTGAAGGCGGAGGGTTGCCACACAGGCTAATTTCTGGTGAGAGTGGAGGCACGTCTGACAGAGGTATAGGTGTTGTATTTCTCTAGGGTTGGTGGAAGTAATTGTGTGTTTGTGTGTGTGGATTCGTGGTGTTATTAGTGTGGAGTTTTTTTTTATATTTGGTTTGGTGTCGTATTGAGAAGAGAGTGTTTTAAAACATGTTTCTTTATTCATGATTGTGTGTGAATGAACAGATTACTGATGTCCAGAAAGGTTTGGGATGGCCTTGTTGTTAAGCTCGTGTAAGAGATAATGTTTGAGATATCAGAGCAGATTTATAGAAGTCTAGCATAGGTCTTTTACACTGTAATACAGAGTGATACAAAATCAGCAAAACATTTTCATTTAGTCTTACAGCTTAGCCACTGAAATGAAAAAAAAAACTGCCTCACCTTTAGTAACAAGAACATTTGACTTGAGCTTCATTGTTAACAGGCAGATTGATAAGTTTGCGTTAATTGCCAGAATAAGTGTTTTGTAATCTTGGCACAGGATTGTAATGATAGCAAATATAAACTTCAGACTTCTTATTTTGCAGGACGTTCTGGAAGGAACATCATGCAATATCGCAATTCAGTCATACAAGTAGTAGGGGATAGGTAAAATGCCTTTTATAAGAAATTGGAGTACTACTTGTGAGATAACTTAGGGAGATTAGATCTTTCAGTTACAAGGATCTTTATGGCACTATCATTACTTTTGTTGCTTATGGTGAGTTGGTGTAACTGGGAGTGCCATTGATGAAGCTTAGGTATTACATGCACCTTTTTAATAGTGACTATAATGGCCATAGTAATACTACAGTAGAGCTATGGGAGGACCAAGCTGCACATCAATGGCACTGTTGTGGATTACTTATGACACTATGGTATTTTCATGTGCTACATCTATATTACTGGCACTATTATGCTGACTTGGCATACAATGAAATCAGCTGACTTGTTCAAATAAAATGCACACAATTTCATTTTTTCACAAATTTTTCAAGTGTATTTACATTTCATAACGATGCATGCTTTTCTCCAAAATTGTTTCTAGAATTATGAAATATAATGTGCTTAGGACTATTGAATATAAAAACAGTAAATTAGTATGGTGGGGGCAATATGAGCGAGCAATCTTGCATGTCTATGGTTTTGTATTATGAAAATTATTTTCAGCCCTTCCTCCCATGTATACAGACATCAATATGTAATTCTGTGCATACAAAGATACTCAATATTGCTTAGGAATTTCTTTGAGGACCTATATCTGCCTTGTGAAAAAGGAACAATCATCTTTATCAGAAGTATTGGAGAAGCCATTCCTTTGAAGAAAGAGAGAAAGATTTGTCTATTTTTACTGATATATTACTGTTTAAGCAGTCAGTAAGAATAATATAGTGGTCACTCTAAGACTTGCTAAAAGGGTTATTGATAAGATACTGATAACAGATAGTACTCAGAAGCTTATCAGTCTCTAAGCGCTCCTGAGAGTAAGCTTCAGTCTGTAGAAGGTATTCTGTGTAGAGGGTATGTTTAATTTGTTTGAAAGAATGAGTGAAAATAGGTAGTACTTGGAGCATAGAACAAATTTTGATTTATTAATTTATACTGCTTTTGTAATGGAAGATACAGTGAAAGCTAATTATATGTGCTTGATGTTTTTTTGTTATATGAAAAAAAAAAAAATTATACTCTTATCTTATGTACTTGCTGATGATTAACATTATGTCTAATCTCTTCTGAATTGCTAAATCACCATTTTAAAAGTGAGTTATATAAATGCAGAATGATCTTTAAAAATGCCAGTTATGAGTATGATGATGATAAGGATTTCCACTGTTGAATATGAATGGTTATTTTATTACAATTTTATGAATTAATGACCTTGCAAGAGTATGCTGTTATAAGTTTTTTTTTCATAGAAATGCAATGCACCTTTTATATAGTCTTAACATTGACTGCTATTTCAGTTGGGAATGAAAGGTGATTTTGGATGTAGTCTAGTGACTTGTATTTTGTGTGTTATTATTTTTGTTGATATGAAATTCTAAAGATGAAAGCAGTCACTAAGTATTATATATTTTATCCAATTACAGATTGTGTTAGCCATACAGGTTTATACATAGCTGGATAATTAGAATGGGGGAACAACGTCTCGCCAAGTGGTACTTTGGAGGCCTAGCTTCATGTGGAGCAGCATGTTGCACTCACCCTCTGGATCTGCTGAAGGTAAATAGCAATTTCATATTACTCTTCATTTTGTTGTAGATGAGGGAAGAGTGACACACCCTATGTAAGGTTCTTTTCAAAAGTAATGGTTGGCTGTTGGTTTCAGGTTCATCTCCAGACACAACAGGTGGCCAGTATGGGAGGCTCTCAGATGGCTGTGCATATAGTGAGGAGTCAAGGCCTTTTAGCTCTGTACAATGGCCTTTCAGCCTCTCTCCTTAGACAGATTACCTACTCAACAACAAGATTTGCAATTTATGAGGTAAGATGAGTATTTGGTTTGTGTCACTGTCACTAATGATTAAACATTTCCACACTGGTGTAACATATAGGTTCATACTTGTTGCTTTGAAGTAGGTTAATAATTTATTTTTTTGTAGGTAAAGATTATAGGTAGAGATAAATTTGTTGTTTTATTTTTGTTGTTGATAAGCTAGCTACTTGATATATGAATTAAAACGTTTGAGGCTGTTTGTAGGTTAGCTTGAGAGATAGTAGAATATAATCTAGCCTTAGTTGTGTTTATTTGCTAGAAGATAAAGCAAGTATGTTGGTTGATTTCTAAGGAAACAATGCATTCATCACATATGAAGTGAACCAATAATCAGTTGATGGATTTGAACATAAATGAGGATGAATAATTTTCTGTATTATGATGTAGTAATTTGTTGTTGTAAAGTAAAATCATTCCATCTTTGTGAATTTATTTGATCTCATTTATATCCCGTTTATATTTGCAAATGATTTTATTTATGATCTTAATGTCATCTGTTTCATTAGTAATTTTTTGATAGATAGGCTTCTTGAATTTATTATTTTTTTCATTTAAAAGAGAAAAGATATTGTGAACCTATCAATACACATTTTTTATATTTTTGATTCAAAATGAAATTCAAAATTCCTTTTAGATTTTCCTGTTTTACAATAATACATACTGAGGATAGGGTAATGAAATTTTAGCATTGACATAACAAAATTGTGTGAGCTTCATATTGACTTGTACATTGAACAGTAACAGTTTTATGCTCTTAGTTATTTGCTAGTGCATGTATTGTTTATTGTTAATAACCAGGAAAGTGTTGTGCTGTTTTGATCTGTAATAAGAGTTTACTTCTTGCTGTTAATAATGAAGAGCAGCTCTCTTTCTAGGAAAATTATCTCTTACTTGTAAGTAAGGGATATACCCTAAGACAATTATCTTTTACAGCTTTAGCTTGAAGGAGGCGAAGGTCTACTGTCCTAATTACCAGTCATAATGCAGGACTAGCCAGGTTACCATGCTTGTAACCTTAGCAGCATGGTGTGAATTATGTCTGTAGGTGAAGT